TTATAGATTTGCCTAAGACGACAACACTAGCATTTCCTTTATACAATACTTTGCAGTTCTACGATCCCACCCTGATTCGTATACAGTACATCTGGTCTGTATACGTGAACTGGATCGTGGTTGGTGTCTTTCTGGCCTCCGCCTCTGTTTGGTTTGTGCTGAAACGATTCCTCTACGAGGAGACTGCTAAAGCCATGATCTGATTTGACCTGGCCTGGCCTGACCCCTCTTCCATTCTCTCTAACTTTCTCATTTTGTACATTTGTGCATCTCTAATTCCCTGAAAGCCACTTTGCCTTACTTTTTACACTTACTTGTCTAAAAAATCACATCCAAATCTTTACTTTTAGGAAAAAGCCAAGAGGCTTAATAGGCAGCCTTTAAATCTTTTTTTCTCCTGGTATCCGATGCATCTTCAAAGGTTAACCAAACTGAGGTGCAAGATGCGATTTCTACCAAAGCAGATTTTAGACAGTATTTTCACTTTAGATATCCTTTCAGGCACAATGTGTTACATGGTGTCAGGTCAATTAAGTCAGAAGTGAGACGGCCCCTTACTAGCTCATCTGCTTGACCAGGGAAAGTGTGACTGCTAGTCCATTTTACATGGCAGTGATAGTAACAACTGCTTAGTAGTGGAATCAGGAGTGATAAATTTAAGAAATGTGGCTAAAAGAAAAAACTTGCAAAGGATAACAAGGGAGAGAATATCGTGGGTGCTGCTGATTTCACTCTGGGACCAGAGAAGTATGCAATGATGAGAAGTGAATTACCCAGCCTCTTGCTCCTACGTCTATGCAGTCGTTAATGTGCTGAAACCACATAACCAACGCAGCTCCTGCTGTAGAATTAAGGCCCGCCCTTCCTGGCTAAGCATCGAGAATAGAGGAATTAAGTCTTTGTGCTGTCGACGTGGATGCCGTTTCGGTACCCATAGCATGCCTGCAAAATCCATGTGGTGTGCTCACAGGTATCTTTGACTAATAACAGTCCCCTATTATTTTAGCTAGAATAATCAAGGCGAATAATTATTTGCCTATTTTTAAACCAATAGAGCAAGTACTTGACTTGGATATACCATCTAGCCAAACTGGAGTAAACAGGCAGCAATATCTGGCCTGCTACTTTGCTTACGTGACGGCCAGCTAGGTGGTGGAGATGC